AGCTCTTCTTTAGTCTTTTGAACCATGTGTAGAGTTCTCCATTGTATGTTGAGACTATACTTTATTTGATGAGTCCCCTATTGATGGACATTTAAATTAGAGAAAAAATGGAAACAATACTGAGGTAAACATCTTTGATTATAGAATTCTGTGACTTCCTAGAGTTGAAATCTTTCCCAGTTGTTCTTTGTTAAGGCTAGAATGTCCCAGTGTTATTATGTATTACTAGTCATAGGAAAAAAAACAACTTTTGATATTCTCTTATTTTAATTTGTATTTCTTTGGTGACTGTAAAAATGGCATGGAGGTGGTGTCTCACCTCTAACTTCACAAGAGGGGAAGAGAATCAAGATTAACAGCCCAAAGCTGATTCCTGTGAGGCAGCGATTCAGACATGCCTCCTCTCTCTGCCATCTTTACCAGTACTGACACCAACCATCCCTCCCACGACACTCTCTGCTTCTCTGTTGGGTTCGATAATTCATTGCATTGGCCACACAGAACTCACAGACAATACTCACAATTATGGGGTTTATTAGGGAAGTAACAGATTACAGTTCAGGCTCAGGAATACACAAGGATACAGTTCTTCCATCAGGACAGCCTCTTCCCAGCTGTGCTCTCAGGTACACCTCTCCCTGGTCCTAGGCCTCTACCCAAAGGACTCAGCTTTCTCTCTCTGTGGGCCAAGAAGCCCGCCATGACATCTCCTGCTGCTGGGTTTCTGCTGCTGGGTCTCTCCTGCCACTGCTTCTCGCTGTCTTCAGCGTACAGCTCACTGTCTGTCTCCTGGGTCCAGGAGCCTCTCAGCGTAGGGAACTCGGGTGCAAAGGATACGGGGGCTCCTGGTTGTTCTTCCTTGATGGTGGTGGGTTCTTCTCTTTCCCACCTCTGGGGTGGCGTTTCAAGCCCAGCAGCATTGCAAAACTGAACAATCCCTTTGGTGGGCCACAATTTCCATATCTGCACAGTCCTGCCCAGTCACTTGGGTGGGAGTTAAAAGATCATGACTAGAAAGGCCACACACAGAAGTGATCTGTTACACTGTAGTGACTGATAAGGTTAGGCATCATTTTATGTTTATAGATAATATTTTCTTCTAGGAATTATTAGTTCCTATCTTCTGTCTTTAATCCTTTGCCTGTTGTTCATGTTGTAGATATTTTCTCTCAAGCTGTCTTTTTTTTTTGGTCAAATTTGTTTATTTTATCTTTGGTCAACTAGAATATTTAATTGTCACGTAGTCATATCTGCCAGTCATTTTTGGCTTCTGAATTTCTTGTCATTTCTTGTCATAAGAAAAAATTTCATTAACCCTAATATTATAAAAGTGTTTGCCTATGACTTTCTAGTTATTTATGTAGCTTTATTTTTTATATTGAGAACTTCAGTCCACATGAAATTTTAACTATATTGTTTCCCAAATGGATAGCCAGTGTTATTCCAGTGCCATTTATTGAAATGCCACTTTAGTCCCATAATAAACTGCCTCTATGTATATGCCTTTGATTCTGAGAATTTTGTTCTAGTGAGTTATTTTTCTTCTTCCTTTATTTTTTTTTTTTTTTTTTTTGCCAATACCAAGTTTACTTTTGCTTTAAAATATCTTTTCATACATGATAAGGCAGGCCCATTCTAAGTTTTCCCATATTTCTGAAATCTCTTAATTTAGCTTTGGTGAACTTCATAGTTGCAAAGCATACTCCTACTAACAGCTCATAAAGTTGGTGCTTAAATTCTGCTGATTATGAATGCATTTATTATATAAAGTTTATTAGTTCCATAAAAATATGTGCTTAGGTCTGTTACACCTTGCTTTGAAATTCTACAGAAGGCCTTAAATATAGATATGCATTTTGAAAAGGGTGTAAAAACAAAACAAAAAAAACCACTGCCTTCAAGTTGATCCCAACTCATAGTGACCCCATAGGACAGGGTAAAACTGCTCAACAGGGTTTCCAAGGCTGTCAGTCTTTACGGAGGCAGAATGGTCAGTCTTTCTCCTGTGGAGTGGCATGTGGATTTGAACCGCTGACCTTTTGGTTGGCATCTGAGCACTTTAACAACTGTGCCACCAGGGATCCTTAGAAAAGGGTGTAGAGGGGGAGATATTCAAAGAACATATGTTTTACTTACATTGGGTATATTACAGTATGTAATAGAAATGCTTTCATTTAATAAATATTTACTGAACATACCCTATGGTGTACTTAGATGCTGTCATGCACATTTCATTATATATTGCTTTATTAATACATTAATCCCTGAGGCAAATATAATTATCCCCATTTTTAAACGAATAATCTGAGACTCAGTTTTCTTGATGTGTACAGGTTCACCTAGCTGATAAATAGCAGCACTGAGTTCTAATAAACATCATAAATTTAACATGTCTGAAACTGAATTCCCAATCTGCCTTTCCAAGTCTGTTCCACATGCAGCCTTCTCCATCTCCTCAATAACAACTTCATCTTTCTTTGTAGTTGCTAAGAGCCAAAATTCTCGCCCTCCCCTTGTCCTTGCCCTTAGGAAATCCTGTTGACTCTACCTTCAGAATATATTCAGAATCCTGCTGTCGTTCACTATTTCCACTACTGTTGCCTTTGTCCAGGCTGCCATCCTCTCTTAGCTGAATTGCTGTAGTAGTCTCCTCAACTGGTCTCCCTGCTGCCATCTTCAACTCCCATGTCCCTGCCACAGCCTTTCTCAACACAGCAGCAGTACTGAGCCTTTTAAAAAAATGTAAGTGAGGTCACGTCACTACTCTGCTGAAGCTCTCCTTTGTCTCCCATTTCCTTCAGTTAAGCCAGAGTCTTTACAATGGCTTAGGTGGCCCTTCACATCTGTTCTCTGTTGCTTCTTTGACCACTCGTACTACCAGCTCACCCACTCCGTTACAGCCTCTCTGTTGTTCCTTTTCTCCCCTCAGAGATTTTCTTATCTTTAAAATAATAACAAATCTTGCCTCTCAGGTTGAGATTCTAAAGGAATAATGTATATAAACCATTTTTAACAGAATATGGCATGTACTATGCACTCAATAAATAGTAGAAGAAACTTATTTTTATTATCTAGGGTTCTTTTATTGTTAAAATCTAATAATATCATAAAATAATAATATTAGATCACAAAATAATAATATCGATATTTAAATAGTACTATGTACCAGACTGTATTTTAAATGCTTTACGAATGTTAACTTTTTAAACAACTTACAACAACTCTTTGAGGCAGGTACTATTATTTTCCCTATTGTATAGGCAAAAGGCAGACACAGAAAGCTTAAGTACCTTCCTCAAAGTTAAATAACTACTTCATGGTGGAGCCTAGATTTGAAACCAAACTGAGTAGCATCAGAATCAGTGTTCTTACCCTCTCTCTATATTATACTGCTTATCAGTATCTATTTTTTTAAAAAAATAGCAGTGTCTTTTTAATTGCATCTAGCAACAACTGCCATTTGTTTATCCCACCCTTTAACTTTTCTTCCAGCCAATTTTTATTCTAAATCTTATTTTTGATTTGGGCATTCTTCATTTAACTCAGATTTTTAAACTTTATTTACTATTTTTCAAAATCTTTTTCTCAAAAGAACAGTTTTCAAAATTATGGAAAAATATAAACATTCCTTTAAAATGTATGCCATTCTTTCATAGTAAATGAACTGTCAGCTCTCATGGAGGATGGACGTTCTCAAGTCCTTTTAGCAAAAGTTTATAGTAAAATGGAAAGACCTGGTGATGCAATCACTTCATTACAACAGGTAAATGCTTTTGTTTGTGAATATGGTTATATGGCGCAGGAGGAATATACCACATAAAAGGCTTTGCTGTTACTGTTTGTTTTTGGCCTACTTGTATAATATGCTGTTGGAGAGGTATGGTAAAGGATTCCGATGTGATTGTGGATTTGTTTTTCCCCTTTTAGTCTTATATAACTTTTGCTTCATTTATTTAGAAGCTATATTATCGGATGCATTCAGATTTAGAATTTTGATATCTTACTGATTAATTAACCCCTTTATAATTATAAAATGGCCTTCTTTATTTCTAGTAATACTCCTTAGTTTAAAGTCTTCTTTGTCTGATATTAATATAGCTACTCCTGCTTTCTTTTGATTAGTGTTTTCATGATATATATATTTTTTATCCTTTTACTTTCAACCTTTCTGTGTC